AGGAGTTCCTCACTCTGGAAAGGGCCCTGAGGGGCAGGAGTGGGGCCCTTTGCACCCCAGAGTAAATACCTTTGTTGCCTGAGGAGTTCCTCACTGTGGAAAGGGCCTGGAGGGGCAGGAGTTCCTGTGGGAGTGGGAGTTGCCCACTGATGGCTGTGGGTGGCAGTGCCATCCTGCTGCAGGGGCAGGGAGCCTGTGGGGGCATCAGAACACAGGGGTTTCTGCCTCTCTCTCCATTTGCACATTTAAGACATCCCTGTGTTTCTCAGGGTGGGGTGGATAATAAAAAATCCCTTTGATTATCTGTTTAATTTGATCCATTCTGACTTGTATCCTGTTGCTGCTTTTTTGCAGGATGTAATTCAAGCCATTAAGGAAACAGCATTTGTAACATCAGAGTACCCTGTCATTCTTTCATTTGAAAATCACTGCAGGTATGTAGTGCCCACTGTTAATTTTTAAATTGTGCACTGTCTGAGAGAGATGATATAGTTTAAAATACTATGATATGATACTTGAAAACAGTGGGGGGTATGCAGGGACACTGAATGTCACTTAATATACTCATCAATCTTTATGTAGCTTAATAGTGGCAGTATTTTTATCTGTGATAAAGCTGTGAAATGTATTTGGATGTTCCATTAGCTGTGTGAGATTCAGTTATTCTACTTTTTTAGTCTTGTTAAATTCATCTATGTGAAATAATAGACTTTTATTGGCAGTATAATTACAGTGAAGTAATACTTCTCAGTTGAAACAAAGTGGGCAGTATATAATTTGGGATGTCTCTATTACTTAGCATCATTCTTTTGTGCTGAGGGATAGTGATTTCGCTTTTACATTTAAAAATTACCTGGCATAATCTTTTCCAGCAAATATCAACAGTACAAGATGTCAAAATACTGTGAAGACCTTTTTGGAGATCTCCTGTTGAAGCAGCCTCTAGAAACACATCCAGTATGTTATATTGTGCTAGTCTCTCTATTTTTTGTATTAGTTTTATTTAAAAGAGATGATTTTTCATCCTAAAATATTTTTAGGAAAAATTTTTCACTGGAATGGCTGCCTGGGGAGGTGGTGGGGTCACCATCCCTGGGGGTGTTTAACAAAGCTGAGCCCTCTGTGTTGTGTCCTCCCCTCCTGTGGGTGGGTTCAGTCCCAGCTGCTCACAAACGCTGCAGAGGTGGCAGGAGCAGCTCTTGGCAAAAACTTGCAGCTGAGAACCTGGCCAGGGCCTGAGGGAGGCAGGCTAGGGGAGATGTGGCACTTGGCTGGAGCACATTTGGTTTGGAGTAAAAGCGAATGTTTGTCCCGAGGGGCATCCAAGTGTGGCCGTGCGTGGGAATGCAGCCCGGCAGAGATGGGCTCTGCAGCACTGACCTCTAGTGGAGTTACACTGCACATCTAGTGGGGTTACATTAGACATCTAGGGGAGTTCCACACCTAGAGGAGGGACACATGCAGTGCAGTCCCACACCCAGTGCAGTTCCAGCCCCAGCGCTGGCAGGAGCGGGTGTGCTCACCCAGCCTGCCTGGGTGCTGGCCAGGACCCTTGCCCTCCCTCGAGGAGGTTTCCACCCATTCCCCTGGGGCTGGGTTGATATGGTGGTTTTCTATTTGGTTTCAATTCGTGCTGCTTCTCTCTAGCTCAGATTTGGATTAAGGGATCAGAGTGTCTCAATAGTTCTTCTAAGAATTGTCACTATTCATGGAAACACCTTCTGCTCCTGTACCATTTAGGCTTCTCTGGAAACCCCAGCCTGTTATGGTGCTAAGAATGCCAGGTTGTGGGTTCAACCTCTGTATGGGCCATTCACTGGAGAGTTGGGCTCAATGATCTTTGTGGGTTCCTTCCAACTCAGAATATCCTATGACTATACCAGCAACTCCCAGGGTAACATTCCTAGCAAGCTTGAGGTGGGGAGGGTGCTAATCAGCTTACCCAGATCTCTGTTTCTTAGCCTCAGTGATGTGATGGGGCTTAAATCAGAGGATTTCATACTTTTCCTCTTTTCTGAATAGTATTTTTTCTCCTTCCCCAAACTGGAACTTTTATTACTACTTCCTTGTGTGTGTATGTGTATGTCCCCTTTGCCTTCAAGAAGTACTGAATTTGTGACCCTGCTGGCAAAATCAGTCCCCATTACCCAGCTGAGGACTGGTAGTTTTCCATGCCCCAGTGCCAGTCCATTTCCAGTCTCCAGGTGGGTTCTGCAGCTCCAGGGGACCAGAGTAGGTGATTTATTTAGAGATCAGATGATAACAGGCTGAGCCAGGGAGGGAGGGAAAGCAGGAATTCCTCTGAGAGGAGTGCAGGTCACAGCCACACCCTCTGCCAGGCAGGAGAGGTGGGAAAACTCAGAGCAGTGCAGCTGGGGCTGGCCCAGGCTGGAGAGCTGAGTGCTGCCTTCTCCAGCCCCTTCAGCTGAGCACAGCTTCCCTCAGCACAGGCTGGAGAGCTGAGTGCTGGCTTCTCCAGCCCCTTCAGCNGCATCCCCACAGCCTGTGGTGTTTGTGTGAGTGTTCCTGAGCATCCCCATAGCCCCTCTGGATAACCCTGCTGTGTTTAGGCGCTGCAGACTGCCAGTGGCATCCCCTGAAACATCCTTCCCTAACTGCATGATTGATTTGGCATTGGTTGTAATTTCTTGGAGTTAATTAAGCACATGCACCAATGGATTGGTTGTAAGAAAAGAAATTGGATTTGATATTACCTTTCTTATGGTAAAAGAAAAATCTTTAAAAACTTTCTACATAAGGAATTACAGCAAATGCTGATAGTGCTGTGTAAGCCATGTCAACACCATCCTGTCACTGCACATTATTGACTGCCAGTATGGGGGTGGCCTCTTACATCTCTGGATTCTGCTGAAACTAAAGCTTGGAAACTGTGCACCTTCTGGGGGACTAGTGTGTTTTCACAGTCATATTTATTTCTTTGTTTTGTTGCATCTGCTTACATGCCACTGTTCTGTTAATTCTGGTTTTCATTTTCTTTTAATGTAGAATCAGGCACACAGTGTGCAGCTCTAATCCAGCATGGAGCAAAAACCAAAGTTACATAGCACACTGCAAAGTGAAAACATACAAATTCTGATTTTTTTTTAGTCTATTAGAAATCACTGCTAAATTGTACTTAAACATGACATATATTATGAAATCCTAATATTGTAAAGTATTGTGAATTAAGAGATGATACTGTGAAATTCGTGTGCATATTTACTCCAAGAACCTGTGCTGGTTTTTGAATAGTTAAAACATGATGTTTCCACGATTCACAAATAATCATCCAGTACTTGCACATTTCTAAACTCAAATTTCTAATTCTGTATTTACAGTATAGCTTTATTTTACCTTTTTGCTTTAGCTGTAGCTATTGTGTAAGACTTGCATTTTTGCAGAGGTGATTACAGTGCCACCAGTCAAGTCTTTGCAAAAAAAAAAGAAGAGAGAGAGAATTTACAAAGGAACATTCAGCTATTTGTTTTCACCATCTCATTTGCACAGATTCCATGTGCACTCATTATTTTCATGAATAAGCAAGAGTAAGACCAGTTACATGATTGCATTCAATTTTTCTTTTTAAGAACTATTTATGTGATCAAACTGCCTAGGTTTCTTATGAAAGATAAATTCATTTTCTACCTAATGCTGAAGTTGCTGTTGAGCAATCTGTGAATTATAGGGCTGCTTTTTTTTCTTTTTTGTTACATGTCCACTTCTTTCTTTCTCATCTGCAGTAATGAAATGCTCTGTGTGGTAGCCATGCACTGTCTTGTTTTGCTGAATTCTCTTGTTTTCTCACCTCAGCATCAGCGAGATCCTCGGCTCAATGAAATTTTGTTTCCCTTCTATGACACGAAAAGAGCTATGCAGATAATTGAGACATACGAGCCAGATGAAGACTTGAAGAGGAAAGGTAAAGGGGGAGGGAGTTCAGAGTTCACTGGGTGTGGGCATTTGGGGAGTTTGTTCTGAAGCATTCAGGCTTTCAAAGGGAGTTTGCTGTGCCTGTGGTGTGGGGACAAGCACTTGTGGAGGGTGCTGGGCCAGGACACTGCTCTGCTGGAAAAACACCTCCCCTTCAAAATCAGATTGGTTTTTGCCCCCTTTTCTTCATACTCAGGATCAGCTGAGAGCACTTGGGTAAAACGTTCTGGAGCAGCTCACCCCTGGCTGACACCAAGCACAGAACATTTAAGCTCCATTAGGGTTTTTTTCAGAAAGTTAGAAGTAGAATGGAAACTGGGATCACTCCACTTCTCTGTGTAAGAGAAAAATAGGCTTAAAGAAAATAAAAATAGGACTGCTGCAACCTTGCCTTAACAATAGCTGAATGTTCATAAACTACTTCAGAGAGAGCAATGCCAAAATTAGTGCCAGGTAACCATTCCCTGCAGCAGCTCTTTGTGAGTAGTCCCTTCTTCCCTATCACAGATCATTTTCATTTTTCAGACTCTTGGCCTCTTTAAAACTGATATTGCCATACTAATTATTCCTAATTTGGTTTCATTAAAAATTACCCCTTAATTTATATTTTTTTATACTTTATTATAGGCATAGACCAGCAGACAGATAAGAGAGGTGTTATGAATTCTGTATTCTGAATTCCTGTATGTGCCATGTTCATTGTAGGTTTCTGATTTCATTTACAAAGGTATGAACATGTATTTCAAACAGTAAATGCAGATTTCCCTAATGAGGGTATTGTAGATTTTGTGAATGAAGCTCTGCAGAGTTTCTCAGGTGCATGTCCCTGTGTGTGTGTCAGTGGGGAGCTGGGTGACAGTGATGTGGCACAGGGCTGGCTGTGAGAGGGGGCGGGAAGGGGCACAGAACCTGCTCCATGACTGCAGAACTCCCAGAGATCAGAACTGTTGGACTGTTCTGAGGAGATGTCACTGCCTGTTTGCACCTCCTTCTGTGCCTTGGCCCTTCTGCTGCTGAGTGCTGGACTCAGGAGTGGAGCTGGTGGGCACCTGGTTTTAATTTGGGACATAATGGCACATTTGGCACCACGTGCTGGGCAGCCTTGAGCACGGGAAGGGGAGAGCTGAATGCTTGCAGGAAGCTGTGTAAATCTGGAACATAATGGCACATTTTGCAGCCTGGAGCAGAGGACCAGGAGAGCTGAATGCTTGCAGGAACCTGTGTAAATCTGGAACATAATGGCACATTTTGCAGCCTGGAGCAGGGGAAGGGGAGAGCTCCTTGCTTGCAGGAACCGGTGTCACTAGCAGGTTCTGGGCTGGATCCGTGCTCTGGGAGGGGGTCTGGGGCTGTGCACCCTGTGCTGCTGGCAGTGACTCACCATGGCTCCCTGTCCCTGCAGGTGTCATCTCCAGTGATGGCTTCTGCAGGTACCTGATGTCAGATGAGAATGCCCCCGTGTTCCTGGACCGCTTGGAGCTGTACCAGGAGATGGACCATCCTCTGGCTCACTACTTCATCAGCTCCTCCCACAATACCTATCTAACAGGCAGGCAGTTTGGGGGCAAGTCTTCAGTGGAGATGTACAGACAAGTGCTTTTGGCTGGATGCAGGTTGGAAGCAGGACATAATCCATATTTGTGAATCTAATGCTTTAAACTAAAAATACTGTGTAATGTACCTTTGTGTTGCTATCTTGTACAATTGAATGTGTAAATGTGTTGGTGTGGCAAATGAAAACTTGTGTTTGTTTAAGAATCTTATTTTTCTCACAAAAGCATTCCTCCAGGCAGAGGAATGTAGAAATTGATATAAGGAGAGTTTGTGAGAAAGTTAGCAGAAGTTTGATCTCAGAATGACAGCTGGAGAATTTCAGAGGGCTCTCTGCTTTATAGTGACAAAGTTTATATGTTAATGAGAATCAGGAAGTTTATTATTTCCTGCTTAATTTCTACTAATTGACTTAATAGAATAAGAAGAGTGGCTCAGTGCTAAAGACATTATTGTCCAGATGAGAATGTACTGACTCACACATGCCATATTTATGGTGGTATATCCAGAGTTGCAGAAATAACACATGTACAGCTTAGAAAGAGTTGTGCAGTGCCCAAAACTGATTTGCAGCTTACTGTTCTGACCATCACTGCTAAAACATGTCCCAGGTAGCTCACCTGGAATAAAACACCGTGTTTATTTTCCTTGGATCCTCAGGTGTGTAGAGCTGGACTGTTGGGATGGCAAAGGTGAAGACCAGGAGCCCATAATAACCCATGGGAAAGCAATGTGCACAGACATCCTTTTCAAGGTAACACCTCTGCAGCTGGCAGCAAAGCCCAGGGGAGGCCAGGCAAGACAGCCTCCCCTCCTCCCTGGGCTGCTGCTCCTGTGGGATGCACTGATGGGGCAGGGCTTCTGGCCCAGGCTCTGGGGCTCTTTCCTGACCTGCACCACCCACCCTGGGCTCCCTCTGCCTTCCCACAGAGCCTGCAGGGAGCAGGCTGGCTTCTCCTGCCCCACTCCCTCACACCCTGGGGCCCTTTGCACCCCAGAGCAAATAACTTTGTTGCCTGAGGAGTTCCTCACTGTGGAAAGGGCCTGGAGGGGCAGCAGTGGGGCCCTTTGCACCCCAGAGTAAATACCTTTGTTGCCTGAGGAGTTCCTCACTCTGGAAAGGGCCCTGAGGGGCAGGAGTGGGGCCCTTTG